TGGTGTAGCAAGCCAAGCTGCGTCCACTGAGGGGGGAGGCCAGTGTGGCCAGTCTCCAGCCTTCCCTGCGGCACGAGAGGCTGCGTGTGGAGCCGGTGGAGCTGCGTCGTGCTTGGTGCGTGCCGCCCGTCTCACTGACATTCGCTCTGACGTCACCATTGCAGTGGAAGACGAGGAGGAGACGATTGCAGAGGAGGAGGCGAACGAAGGGGCTGTGGACCACCAGTCAGAGCTGGAGGCCAGTGTGGCCAGTCTCCAGCCTTCCCTGCGGCACGAGAGGCTGCGTGTGGAGCCGGTGGAGCTGCGTCGTGCTTGGTGCGTGCCGCCCGTCTCACTGACATTCGCTCTGACGTCACCATTGCAGTGGAAGACGAGGAGGAGACGATTGCAGAGGAGGAGGCGAACGAAGGGGCTGTGGACCACCAGTCAGAGCTGTCTAACCTCGCCAAGGAAGGTAGGCTGGGCCTCCTGCCAGCGTGCCGTGAACACCGAGCCAGGACAGGGAGCTGAAAGCCTGTGCAAGGCAGAACAGCACCCGGTGTCGAGCTCCCTGGGATCGCCACGCTGCTGAGCGTAGAGTGCCGAGTGCCACCCCTCCCCGCGTCCCTGTCTCCCTCTCCCCGGGTGCCCGCCGGGATGCGTTCTGGATCTTGCGTCTGTCACTCCTGCAGCTCTGTCCCTGCACCTGTGCCCTCCCTGTGCATTCCCTTCCCAGTGTCGGAGCCTCACGTGAACGTCCTGCTGTAGGTTTGCCCACTTGCATTTCCTCTCAGCTCTTCTGCCAAGTTTCATTCATGTTGTTGTTTGCTGTGTGAACACTGGTTCTCCCTGCGCAGTAGCCACGTGCACCTGTCTGCCCAGACGGTCTGCCGGGCAGTTGGTGGGCCCCCGGGCACCTGCGCTCTGAGTGGAGGGGTGGGCGGGGGGGCGTGTGCACCTGGCAGCCTGGTGAAGTTGTGCTGAGTTTGGGTAGAATGGTGGCCACCAGCTGCCCATCTCGGGTGCACTGGTATCTGACTGCAGCCTTTCTGCCCGTCGGGGTGAGAAACGGCGTCTCTTCCTGGGCTCCTGCCTGTCTTCCTGTCCTGGTTCTGGGTTTCCTTTTCCGTGTTGACTTGTAGGTGATCCTTGTGTGTCCTGGACGTCAATTCTTCATCAGTTTTATGTGTTGCATTTTCCCCATTTTCATTCTCCGTGTGGTAACGTGACGCACAGTGTTCTTGATGTTAGTGCAGTCGCGTTGGCCAGCCTGGTTTATTTAAAAAACACAACGGTCTCCCAGCTCACAAGATGCCTCCTCTGTCGGCGAACCCTCTTTGTTCTTCTGTTCACGTGCACGTCTCTGACGGGGAAGTGACCCCCTTCTCCTGTGCCCTCCCAGCTGAGCTGCCCCTCATCGACCTGATGAAGCTGTATGAGGGGGCCTTTCTGCCGAGCTCCCAGTGGCCCCAGCCTCAGCCCGGCGGCGAGGAGACGAGTGAGGAAGAAGGTGTGTCCCGCGCCTGTAGGGGTTCGGCTTTCAAACAGCGACTCGCAGAGCAGGGGCCGGACAGCGGACACCCTTGGGTTTGGTGACGGGAACGTTGGCGTTACGTGTGATTCTGTATTGAGGAGGCTTTCACTGAATTCTGTGCTTCCTTTTTTGTTGTTTCTAAACTTGGCACAGTCCTGAGAGCACTTGGTCAGGTTGTGAGCAGTTCATTTTCTCCAGGTTTAGAAAAGGTGTCATTTTATGCAGCAAGGTTTTCATCACGTTATTCAGGCTGTGCTGTGTAACACGCCTGCTTTAAGGAGTTCATCTTACTTTGATTAGACGTTCCAAACATGCGCAGACGACACCAGGAGCCCTGCTTTCCTGCTGTCGCCCCGCTTGTTCTGATCAGTAGACACAGTGCCTGGGCGGGGGAGTGGCCGCGGTCAGGACCCTGTTGCAGCAGGACCAGGGAGGCCCCGGCGGCCCCTTACTTGGCTGGCCTTGGAGATGCTTGTCGTCTTTCCTTTCTTGGTGGTGGAGGGAGTCAGGGACTCAGCGGTGCCCATACAGCCACCTGTGGGGACAGCAGCTCCGTTGCTGCGGAGGCCTCTCCAGGTTCACCTGAGGGCTTTCCAGCGTGGGCTGAGATTGACAGTTCCGTAAGAGTTTTCTCTGTTTAACCAGAGCGCCCTCTTAGGTAGGTAATGTGGATCAGAGTTCAAAAAATGGGTGCTTTATCCTGTATTTGGATTCTGTCAGTTTGTTTAGTGTTAAGTGGGCTCATGAAACTATGAAGGCTGCTGCAACCCCCCCTTCCCGTTGCTCACAGAGGTGGAAGACGGCCCCGGCGACCAGGAGGGCCGCAAGGACGTGGTGCTCATCGACTCGCTGTTCATCATGGACCAGTTCAAAGCCGCCGAGAGAATGGGCGTCGGGAAGCCTCACACAAAGGACATCGCAGAAGTGACCGCCGTGAGGACGAGAGGCTCCCTGCTCCCACAGAGCACTTGCCCCAGCTGCACACGTGACCGGGAAGGTGAACTCTGACCCTTGTCCTGCGGCCCGGAGGCTTCTGTAGCTTCCCAGGCTAGAGACGGGGCTCGGGGATCCCTGAGGCAGCGCTCACGGTCCGTCCCCGCAGGTGAAGCTGAGTGCCCCGCCCCTGCTGCACGGCGCGCTCAGGGAGTACCAGGAGATCGGCCTGGACTGGCTGGCCAAGCTCTACCGCAAGAACCTCAATGGCATCCTGGCGGACGATGCCGGGCTGGGGAAGACGGTGCAGATCATTGCCTTCTTTGCCCACCTCGCTTGCAACGAAGGTAGGCGCGGGGACAGCAGGTGCTGCCGAGCCTGGCGTGCGGGCCAGGGTCTGGCTGAGCGAGGGTCTGTCGGGGGTGCTTTCTCGAGGGAGTGGGGGCGCCTCGCGTCTGATCAGCCTCGGCCGTCGGGTGGGTGACATCTTTCCCAGCCTGTCCTTTCCACCTCTCGCTCGGTGTGGCTCCATTTCTAACAGACGTTACGGTCTGGTGTGTGTGATTCTGATCACTTGAGGACGCTCATTTTTTAGAGGAATGAGCTGAAACCACCTAGTTGGGATGGTTTGGGCGTGTGTGTTGGCGAGAGGTTGGGAGCCTCCATGTGAGTTGGTGTGGTGCTGTGGGAGTACCCACCGGGGAGGGGACAGGCCTTGGGCTCCGAGGGCTGTGGGCTGCTGACTGCTTTTTCCTGAGCGTTGTTCCTTGTCAGCGGGGGCTCCTTCCCGTGCTCATGGGGTTGGCCATGTTTCTGAGTAAGCATTCCTTTTATTGGGTGATCACTCATCCAGCCACTCTGGCCGAGCGCCTCCTGAGAGTCAGGCCTCCCCCTGCGGCTGCTGGGAGTGGGGACGGAGGCGCCGTCCCAGTCCGGGAGCCGTGGTGGGAGGACGCCCCTGCACCCACTGGACGGCTGCTTCAGTCCCGCTCGGGGACGTCTCCACAGCGCGTGCTGGTGCCTGGGCCTGGCGAGGGCAGTGTGGCTGAGAGGACGGCTGTGTCCCTTCCCTCCACAGGCAACTGGGGCCCTCACCTGGTCGTCGTGAGGAGCTATAACATCCTCAAGTGGGAGCTCGAGCTGAAGCGCTGGTGTCCTGGGCTCAAGACCCTCGTATATGTTGGCAGCCACCGAGAACTCAAAGCAAAGAGACAGGTATTTCAGTTCCACCGAGAGCTCAGAGCAAAGAGACAGGTACTTCAGCTCCAGCGTGAAACAAAACCATCTTAGTCCGAGACACGTTTCAAAATGCGCTTATTAGTGTAATTACTGTAGACAGACACCGCCTTCAGGTCATTTTAGACCTGCAGTTCCCCGAAAGCATCGACTGCCCTGCACGGAGGGCCTGGGTGTACACGCCTCACGTCTCTTCCTGGAAAGGGAGGCGTTTCCTTCCGGAACTGACGGCCCTGCAGTGAGAGCTGTGGCCCTTGTTGGCTGCGGGCCGTGGGCTCTCAGACAGAGGAGACGCGGTGCCTCCGGTCCCGGGTGCCTGTGGTGTGTGCGTGAGGAGCGCCGAGCGGGCTGCCTGTTGAGCATTTACTGAAAAAGTGACACCTCGAGACGCGTTGGGTTTCCACTGTCTGGTTACCAGTTGTTGTAAAGCTTCTCAGGCAGCCAGTGACAGCACAGAGCTGCCTGCGGCCTCGGAGAGCGTCTCGCCTTACCCAGTCCTCCCAGGGCAGCCTGTGTCCACACGAGTGCTGGAGGCTCCTGGAGGAAGGGTCATAAAAATACACACGTGGGGTCTTTTTTGTGCAGAAATAGCGAGTTATCAAACAGTGAGGAGACGCCTGTGTTCTGTGCCGCAGGGATGGACCGAGCCCAACAGCTTCCACGTCTGCATCACGTCCTACAAGCAGTTCTTCCGGGGCTACGCGGCCCTCACGCGGGTGCGCTGGCGGTGCCTGGTCATCGACGAGATGCAGCGCGTCAAGGGCTTGAGCGAGCGGCACTGGGAGGCAGTGTTCACCCTGCAGAGGTCGGCCTGGCCTCCGGGCTGTGGGGGGCTGAGGGTTCAGTGACACAGACGGCCTGTGTCCTTGGCACCGTCCCTCCCGCGAGGACACCAGGGTGTTCGTTTAGCACAGCCATGTCTTCCAGGCACCGGGGGGACGCATAGTTACCCCGTAGACCTGCCTTGTCCTTAAACGTCTCAGACGCAGCAGTCCTAGTGGGGCTTTCAGACATGGTCTCTGGTCTCATGTGCAGCCAGCAGCGCCTGCTCCTGATCGATGCGCCGCTGCACAACACCTTCCTGGAGCTGTGGACCATGGTGCACTTCCTCATCCCGGGCCTCTCGCGGCCCTACCTGCACGTCCCCCTGCAGGCCCCCACCGAGGAGAACCAGGACTACTACCACAAGGTGGTCATCCGCCTGCACAGGGTACGTGCGCCCCCCCCTCCCCCCCAGTGCAGGGGACTGCGGTGGTGGGCGGCGATGTCATCCCAGAGGGAACCACGGCGTCTCCTTCCCCAGGTGACCCAGCCGTTCATTCTGAGGAGGACCAAGAGGGACACGGAGAGGCAGCTGACCAAGCGGTACGAGCACGTGCTCAAGTGTCGCCTGTCCAGCCGGCAGAGAGCCTTGTACGAGGACGTCATCCTGCAGCCGGGGTGAGGGCACCGCCTGTGCTGGGCCCTCCGCCCCTCCCCCCACCCACGCCCAGGGCCAACCCCGGCGTGGCCGGCACTCCGTGTCCATCACGCCGGAAACACGTCCTGACGGGACCTAGGACGTCAGGCTTCAGGCCCATGTGGCCCCAGGACGGCTGCACAGTCATCCCCCCTTGTCCACAGGGGAGCTGTGCCAGGGCCGCCTGGAACTGCATGACCCTTCAGGGCTGGACTGTCCACAGCAGACCTCTTCACAGTCACGGCCAGAAGGTTCTTGCTGACTGGAGGTCTCAGGACCATGCAGTTCCTTCTCTTTCCTTATTGAGTTGAGAGCGTTCGCCTTTCCCCTTAAAGGAGCACCTTCCCACGTTGCCAGCATCGCTGCTCTTGCTCTTTGGGGCCATTTTAAGTAAAATAAGGGCGACTTGAACACGTGTGCTGATGCCAGGACACTCAGTCCGCTTAAGTGACTAACAGCTGGAGTGTCTACAGCGTGGGACGCTGGGCAGAGGGGTGACTGACGCCCCCAGCAGGAGAGAGATCAGCACGCTGTCCAGAGCAGCACACAACTTCAGCCTAGACGTTGCTTATTTCTAGAACTTGGCATTCGATGGCTTTGGATTGTGGGTAGCTGACACCACGGGTCCATGGAGCCGCGGGTCGGGCTGCTGCGTGCTGCCTGACCCTCCCCCGCTCTCTGACTCCCGTCCTGTCGTGGGGACGGAGGGAGCCTGAGGGTGACAAGACGGGGAGTCGGTCTCGGGGGCGGTGACGTAGCTGAGCGCGCCGGGGCGGACGTGCATCCCTGTGGGAACTGGCGGGGCCGACGCTGAGTGCTCGTGTCTCCGTCAGGACCCAGGAGACGCTGAAGGGCGGGCACTTTGTGGACGTGCTGAGCATCCTGCTGAGGCTGCAGCGCATCTGTAACCATCCGGGGCTGGTGGAGCCCCGGCTCCCGCAGTCCTCGTTTGCGGCCCGGCCGCTGCAGCTCCGCTTGGCTTCCCTCGTGCTGAAGGCGCTCGACAGGGATGCCTGGACGGTAAGGAGGGACCTCGGAAGGTGGGTGTGCCGGGGTCCCGCGGCCCTGACACGGCAGCGCCGGGCAGCCTTGTCTT